TCAGCACTGCTCTGTGCTTTGCGAAAAAACTCACCAGCCTAGAAAACAAATAGAATGCTCAAAAATGTTTGTGTACAATTTTGGCAATCAGCTATCCATTTGAAAGTCGAATAGGAAACTAAGCAATTCCAGAAATTCTTCTGGCACTAGTAAACCAAGAGACTGCACCTTTTGCAAAACAAGTTTATATTCCACAAGCTCATTGTATGAACGTTGTAACTTATCGCCATTAGCATTTATTTCAATCAGCTCTGCTTCAAGTTCTCCAAGCTTGACCTAGTACACAAATAAGCTGTGTTGACCTCATTGAACAAAAGCAATTTATATATAACCAAATAGATTAAACATACCTCAAGGTCATCAAAGCTTAAATCAACTTGTGTGGAAGACGTAGAAGAAGATAACAAGCCTGCTTTGGACATTTGTTCCTTGAATAGCCGTAATTTACGAGCCATCTCTCCACATCTTTTGATCTTTACAATAAACACAGAGTTATGTATAGAGTTACTAGTTCTGAATAGCAAGAGGAGAGAAGAGTTTATGCAAATGAAGATACACAAGTATCTTTAAAGACACATATTTCACAATTAAAAAAGGTGTCAGGCACTAGCAATATGCGGATCAACGACATCTGTGCTCAAAGCCATTCAAGTTACTACCATCGCTGGAGCCTTCAGTTTAACACCGAAAAAAGAAGTTCTTTTGATACAAAAATGAGCACGTTTCCAAGACTGTTTCTATCGGAAAATTCAGGAGTTCCAACATCTTTGTTGTGGTAGTTGTAAAATGTGTTTATGCACAGCAGGAACTGTAATGTCTCCAATTTCAAACTGAACATGACACTTAAGGTTTAGTTAGCTACTTCATTGAGAAGAGCAAATAGCTAGATCAAATTTAAAAAGATAGCTTATTTATTTTGAGTCCTCGCATATCCCAATAGTTAAAGTAAAGAATGCAGCAGAAATTGCACATCCTTCCCTTGTTCCTCTTTTTGTTTGCTTCCCTTCACCATGAGGAACAGACATGAGACGAATACAAAAGGGTGTGAATATTGTGTTGGTAGAAAGGAGAGATGATTGGCATCTCCCAGACAGGGACGGTAACATCTTTTGAGCTTTACCTGTTGTCAGGCAAAAGGGCATGACATTTGATGTATGGCTCGATAGAGACCAAATAATAGACGAGGATATTTTGTGGAAGCTCGTAGCATTGGCAGTCTTATCGGTGCCAAACAATTCAGGTTCTTTAAAGAAGTTAGCAAGACAGCAACATGGAGGGCCTGAGTACATCTATGCCCCCTCAGACCAGGATTTTACTAATTGGGTTAATATCACCCACCCCTCTAGTTAATGCTAAGCCTGACGAAAAATTGGTCCTGATGAGTGATGGTGGAATACTCCATCAAGCAAGAAACAGTACAATCTGATTTATGAAAAAAAAAATTGTAAAAGTTAGAAAAAGTAAAAGTTACATGATAAGATTCTCTATTCATAAGAGGATTTCTTCTTTTTCCCCCCAAAACAATAAATAACATAATTCTCCTACCCCTATCTTTAGATAACGGCTGATTACCCCCAAAAATAACTAGCTAGATTTTGATAGGTATAATATGACTCAATGGGAAAGTAAAGTAAGAGGAGGTTGTAGCTTTCAAGGCTCAAATAGAGAAAGAGTAGAGTACAATAGAGTGAAAGTGAACTTAGGTGGAATTCAAAGGGCTTATAAACTATTTCGTGAAATACCTGAGTAGCATATGTTCGCTGAAATGGACTCTTTTCAGCATTCAACTGTAAGAAAGCAGAAATTGGATAGATCAATTGAAATGCAAAGGTAAAATTTCATAAAGCACTGAACTGTGAGCAGTCAGCATAATATGCATAAGTAGTCACCCCACTGAATTGATTTTAATAAGAAAGTCCAAGGACCCTACAGCAATACAAATATTACATAGAAAAGCCTCATAAGCAACTTATCGAAAACAAAATCATGAAAATTGAGTTCTAACGAAGACATTGCGGAGGCATCCAAGATGTATATAAAACTATGTAACCTCAGCCTATATATTAGATTGCACCTACATATATTACTCTATGCTCAAATGAGTCAGTCGATAGAAGCAGCTCTAAAATCAGAACGAAGCCAAAATGGAAAAATAGTACTAGTATTGTCATTACTCATTACAAACTAACTCAATACTGAAAGCAGTTTATCTACTGTTACAAATCTAAGTTACATAAAAAGCTCAAATCTACCAAATCAAAGTCCCCCTCCTTTGTTCTGTCATAGAGAAACCATGTAAAATCTATGACTAAATCAAAATCTCCTGTTGCTAATAAAGGCATCGGAAAAATTAAATGAATGTAATGGGGGAAAACAACGGCATCTAAAATTAACGATTGGTTCAAACTTCATAACGTTAATGTCGGAATAATTAACTCAATTCTAATACTGTTCTGAATCATCAATCTCAATTCGTCCAGAATTAAGCTGAAATAAAGCAGAAAACAACAGCTAAAACCCTAGCCACACAAAGTCTACCCAATTATCCGAAACTATAATAATACAAAAATCATAAATCGCATAAATTAACACAGATAAAAGTAGAGATGAACAAACGCACGTCTTTGAACTGAATAAGACCGATTTCGCCAAGGTAATCGATTGTACGGTGAGCAGATTCAATAGGAATAATGATTTGCACGAGTTGCATCGCTTCTGAACGGAACAGATCCATCGGCGGACAGCATCCTCTACCGCCTTGCTCCGCCATTGTAGTTCCTTTTTCTGCTCTGCCGAGTTTTGAATCTGTGTTCTGACTTTCTTCTCTCCTCTACAATGATATATGGATCACATCACACAGTAAAGAAAGAGTAGCTGAGATTTATTTGTTTCTTACCGCCTTGATATTCCACATTATTCACGCTAGTCGGATTTATTATTGTGTTGATGGAAAAAGTTTTGTTATTTCATATTTCGTACCCAACTTTTTGGCTGTCTTTAAACTATGCTTCAACTTAAGTTTTATTAATGCATCTACACCCCTATACATTTGGAGGGGAAACGAAAGAGTCATGACATACTTTAAGAGTCATTTGTTTTAGAAATAAGTTATGCAATAATGGTGATATAAAAATTAGTAATATACTGATTAGTAATGTTACATGTAGATGAAAACAATCTCATGTCATATTTAAATGACTATACTTCATAAGGATCATTTGGAGTTTTTTTCTTGTTTCTCAAAATGTGAATTTCTAGTACTATATATGTTCAACATTCAAAAGGTATATTAATTTGTCATTTTGTTAATAGTATTTTAAGTTGTATTCTTAGAGTTTTATGTTTTAGCAAATAAGAAAGTATTTATCACTGAACTAAGCTTGTTATATATTTTTTGCTTGACCTATTTAAAGTTTTGTTTGTCACGTACACAAACACAAAAAAAATTAAATTTCTACTTCTGCATAATTGCCGGTGTTTAGATTTTAAAAACCTCTATCTATCATTACAAGTAATATAATAGCAAATACACAACAAAAATATGGGGGGGAGGGGAGAGGGGGGCGGAGGAAGGGACAACTTTTTAGCTAGCGTTTGGCCATAGATCCCAAATTTATTTTGAAAAATCTGATTTGGGTGAAGTTTGGTTTGAAGATGAAAATGTGTTTGGACATACGTTTTCAAAACATATTTTCCAACTTTATTTTGGAAAAACATGTATATAATTCCCAAGTTTTGGGATTTTGGCCCAAAATCAGCTCAATAGCTGAATTTGAGATTTGGGATTTGGGATTTGGGATTTGGCCAAAATATGGGTAAAATTTATGGCCAAACATGAGTTTTGAAAATAAATCCCAAATTTATTTTGGCAAAACTCATGGTCAAACGGCGCCTAAGGCAAGAAATGAGCAACATGTCAAATGAATGCAGCAAGCTAAAAGAAATTCTCATGTTAAAATTTTGTTTATATATTGCTGCTCTTTATATATATATATATAATATTGTTCTTTTTATATTAAACATTGACTTGCTGTTATTACCTAAATATTATAAATTATTTTCCTACCGTTTAACCAAAAAGAAGAGTGAAAAATGAATCAAACAATTGAGATTTTTTTTTTTCTATATATAACTCAACTGAAACTTAGATTAATTTCATAACTTTTATGGTGGGCCACGTCGAATAGGTTGGGGGCACCACCAATTGTTATAAGTGCAAAAATTCACACAAGATAGTATGGCAAATCAAACACGGAGTTGGTATCAAACGATACTCGGGAAATGGGAATTACACGATCTGTTGAAAAATATATTAATGTTGAGACTGAATGCTCTATCTGTGCAATTTTTGACATATTCATTAATTTTTATCTGTTCGGACATATTTTAATGAAATATCTACTTTTGTAAATCAATTACAACCGTGATTGTCCTTTAAAAAATCTGTAGACGAAATTTCCGGAGTAGGATCACGTGTGGACAAGTAACGAACACATGATGGTGTAGATGGCCCCACAGAACAGAAACAAACAAACTTGCACGTTCCAGGTGTCCCTCCAGCCACATCCATTTGTTGATAACATTACCTCATTCACTTCTCGTTCGTTTTTTCTATTTCCTACCTTCTCTTTTCTTTAAAATAAATAATATTTTGTGGATCAAAAAATCCAAAAAAAAGGGAAGGAAAAATGTAGTATGCATGAATTTTGTATATGCAGCGCACAAAGTAACAGTTCCACGAATATTTACCATTGTTACTCCATTCTTTTTAGGACTAAATAGATGTTACACTTCTAGAGCTGTCATGTACAAATTGAGTCAAACTTCAAATTCCAGAAGAAGTAATGAGTCCAAAGACTTGGTTTATAGGCAAGTTTTGTGAATTTGACTCCAGTGCAAACGTAGAACTTCTATGTCATAGGTGCTCAACTGTTTTTAATCTAATATTTGTATCACTTACTAGTTTTCTATATAAGTAATAGTATTTGACTCCAATATGGTGACTCTGGAAGGGGGCTTCACTGGTTCCAATTTAACTCTCAACAGATATACGCCAAACCAGCGTCATTGCACACGTTACATCCCATCTAATTTCAAATATACAAGTTTTCAAGTTTCATTTTCACCATAGGCTTTTAATTAAGATCAAGTTCAAGCAAATACTTAGACATTGCAAAGTGTAGTACACATTGCTCTAACGAATGGCCAACTGTTTCAAAGGCTAGATAGTGAAGAAGACTGCTGATCAGGAACAAAAAACATGACTCTGCCTAACATGCCTGCAAAGTGCTCTTGTAAATAGTAGCAATCTACATGTCCACTTCTGCTCCCTGAGCAATGAATTTGAGAAAGCCTCCTGATTTCGACTCATCATATTCTCTTCACAGCATCACCATGAACAGCAACCAATCCTTCAGTAGCTAGAGTAGCAAGTGCATTTCGTAGCTGATACAACAGAGGGAAAAAGAAAATCAGATAATTTTTCGATCAATGTGTCGAGGGAGGTTGGGTGGGAGAGAAACTTACATCTGCTAGGTGAACTTCACCACCAGAACTTTGCTTCTTCAGCTCTTCCAGTAACTACACATTGACGCAAGCAGAAGTCAGTACTGAATTTATTTTTATTTCCCTATTTCTGAAATGCTATTACAGATAATTCAACAAGTTTATGTACCTCCAGCATCCGAGTTGATGGTCCCCCCAGCTGCAGCTTCTCCATGATTATGTTGCGGGTGGTTGACACGAAATTCTCTCTTCTCATCCTTTCACTTGCAGATACTCCAGTTGTGATGAGATCCATGTCAATGGTTCCTGCTCAAGAAACATAATATTCATCTAATATTGCTCAGAATACTTGAAAGAAGTGAAAATATTGGATGAGGAGGTAACTTTTAAGTTGATTGGATTTTGGAATTTGCTCAGGCAGACGTTTACTCTGAAGTACAGTGCTAGCAACTTAGCAAGTAATGGGAATGGCTAGAGATAGGTGAAATTGTCGCATGGTCATTTCATGTGTGAAGTTCTTAATTGAGCAATAAGAAAAATGCTCTACATAATGCTTAGCAGGTAGTAAAGAACTACATGTAGGTGCCACCGGATACTCAATTACTATGATGATTTCGTATATCCTCGCATATTACAAGATAAAAACACAATGGTTACTGTAGAAGGGTTGTCAAAGGTTACCTGTAGAATGGTCAGTTGCAGACTGCTGCAGTGCAACTTCTAGAAGACGAATAGCCTCCATTACGTCTCTTTTCTCAACCTACAGGCGAAGTGGCAATAGCATCTTAACTGAGGCAAATTCCAAAGATAGACTCGAACACTAGGAAAGATATACCAACCCGTTCTGAAAAACGAATCCGGGCGAGACCTTCACTAAGGCGTATTAAGCTCTCTAATTGCCTTGGTGTGGCTGTAATAACCTGAAAAGTGTAATATATCAGATACCAGGGAGTGCACTAAGTTATGGTGGTTATTTGAGGAATGCAATATAATAATATGCATCAGTAGCTTTAAGAAGCAAAATGTGAGAATGGAAGTTAAAGATTGATCAATTGAAAAATCTGACCTTTTTACTGCTGCCAGGGAAATTCCCTCTTCTTCTCATCTCCACATACCCTCTAGTCAATTCTTCAGCTGCTTCGTCAGATAATTGTGGATGTATATGTTTTCGAGCATAGCTCAAGTATGCAGTTAATGTTGGAAGGTCAATCACACCTTGCTCTGAGTTCTGCAAAAGATGGAAAATTAATTATTAGCTGAATACACCTTGCCAAGCGACACACATTGGAAAGTTTATGAAGATAAAATCAACAAACCTCTGGATTCTCAAAGTGTAATGCAACTATGTGTTTTGCAAGGCGCCTGTCCATCTGCTCATCAGCCTTGTCTAGAATTAAATATATCAAATCAAATCTGAAAGAAGAGAACAATAGTCAGAGAAGGATCCAATTTAAGAACCAACGGACTACTAGAGAACTGTAGCAGATAGGCAATTCCAAGATGTAGATTAATTTCCAATAGCACTATGCTAAAGAAATGAGAAGTCAAATTAGCCTCCAGCAGTTTTTGCAAAATTATACCTTGACAGCAGGGTAGGTGGAAGATGTATATTATCAATGACAGATAGACGGGGATTGTAACGAGAGCCAATTGGATTTGCGCAAGCCAATACGGAAGTCCTAGCATTAAGCGAAGCAATGATTCCAGCCTTTGCAATTGAAACAGTTTGTTGCTCCATGACCTAAGGAGAAATAAAGGGAGAAGAGGAATAAGAATCACTGAGCTCGTATTTGCTTTAAAAATTTACGAAGTAGTAGGTAAGAGTCTTACCTCATGTAACATGCTCCTTGCACTGTCAGACATTTTGTCAAACTCATCGATACAGCAGATCCCCCTGTCACTCAGGACCAGGGCCCCACTCTCGAGGACCTGTAAAGTAAATTGTCAAGTCAAATTTTCGTAGTACCATTGATGTTACCAAGTCAATTAAAACAGCAGTAATAGACATCATACAGTTTCACCAGTCTCAGGATCTTTGGCTACATAAGCAGTCAACCCCACGGCGGAACTTCCTCGTCCACTGGTGTATATACCACGGGGAGATAGTTTGTGAATATACTGAAGCAGCTGCGATTTGCTGGTCCCCGGATCACCAACAAGAAGAATGTTGATATCACCTCGGAAGCTAGCCCCAGATGGCAACGTCAATGCATTCCCCCCAAAGAGCTACACGGAAACCAGTTAACTATCAGTACAACACAACAACTGCCCCAACCCCAACTTTCTGATAATGAATCAAGTTTACTATGTTAATCAAAAAGAACGAAACAGTCAGAGCACAAAGAGGAAACTATCATGGTACCTGGCAAAGAAGACCTTTCTTTACATCATCCAACTCCCAGATGTTTGGCGCCAAGGACCTAGTCAACCTTTCATAGATATCAGGCTGTTTAGATAGTTCTTTCAATTTCTCCACCTGTTATTCAAAACAACCATTCATAAAATAAGACTGGATCATTCTTATCCTCCAAGAAGAAGGTTAGATTAGAGTAACCTTTTCTTCATAACCAAGAGAGCCATCATTTCCAACCACTCCATTTTCAATTTCCATCGGATCCTCTGCATTCATTCTTGACTTGTCAGTCTTCTTAAGATGAAGACAATCAATGTAAGTCTGGAATCAAATATACCCAATCAGTTTCTGAATATTGTATTGCTAGTCTAATTTGGACATATGATGGGTTTTAAAATTGGCGAACTCCTTAATCATCAGAGCAGCAAAAACAATCACAAGATACAGAAAGAGACTTGCCTTGAACAATGATTTTACGGTCCTCTGTGTTGACCCAATTCTGACACTCATAGCCCGATAAATTCCAGTGACCTGGCCAATAAAACGAATTACCACTGGGTTATAAGGAACTGAGAGTTGAACTAGTATAGAAGTTCAACAAGAAACAACATATAATATGAAAAATCTTACTTCAACTCTGTCTCCTGGCTTCCCAGCATCCACCAGCTTGTCGTGCATCAACAAGCTTACTGTGTGAGGTGTCCCTCCCTCAGGAATCTCATCTGGTGTTTCTTGAACTCTCACAATTTGTTTATCAGCAAACCTGTGTCAGGGGAACGGTTTAGATAAAATTGAAGTAAATTGAGTCTTTGAAAAAGCACATTTTGAAAAGAAATCCCACTTAAGATGCTGAAGGCATATAAGGTTAGCCAACATTCGGGGTCACGTTATTCTGGACTATGATCAAAATTGCAAACTAGTTGATCCAATAGCAGAAGTTGTTTCTTCCAGATTACAGCATTATGTATCTAAACTGAGTTAAATACACTAATTTATCAATTGTCATCACAATAATCAGGTAAAAGTCAAGGACCACTCATTAAAGTCCAAGGATATTAAGCTAAAAGCCTCAGGTACAAGATCAGATCTATTGAAGGCATAGGTGTAGAAAGGCAATAAAGTTTTTAAGGGCATCATTGCTGTGAATTGGTGATGATAAGGAATCATCAGGAATAGTTGGTAGTTTCTTTTTAACATCATTGCTGTGTATTGGTGATGATAGGTTAGAAAGTCGAATCCCTCCTCACTACAATCTTTCCGAATCCAAGTGAAATGCTTGCTATTTTCCAAGCATAAAGTTTATAACTTTGTTACATCAAGCAGCAAGTATGAATCTTTTAACTCTACACCACAAACTGAATAACTTAAACAAAGATCACAAGTAGCTCCGCTGGACGGCACACAAACAACAGACTTAAAAGATTAACTATACAAATGTATAGAAATAACCATTCAACCTTGACGGATGACTATTAAGCAATACTGAGAACAAAGTGCAACTCAGCTTTGAACTAGAGAGAGATGGGAACAGAGATACTGATGAACATTGGCTTCAGGTAATCAATTAGGAGAAAAATATCAATGACCGCCTTAAACAAGAATGATCAATCCAGAAGTAATGGTAGTCATTTTTTTACCTGCATCTATTGTGGACCAAAGTCATTGAGTTCCTTGCTAGACATTCTTGCTTGCCGCATATTGTTGGCTCATTAATCCTTCCTGACAACAGTTAAAATTTATATTTAGCATGCAGAAACCAGAATTCATATAGGGCAAAAAGTAGCAGGTTCAGTCCAGTCAACCAACCTCTATCGACAACAATTGGATCAGAGTAATACCCACAAACAAGACACCTAAATATTGCTTCCCTTATCTCAGGAATAATTGCACTACATCGAATAACCATCCCTTTGAGTGACACCATCTTCTCAATATCTAATAGAAGAGAAATAAAACAATATAATTCCAAGTTTCAATATTTCATTCTGAAAAGAAAAACATATACTACAACAATGCAACTAACCTGCCGGATTAAGATTTCTCATTGAAGTCGAACTCTTAAGATTGAAAATTCTAGCTTGTATGTGCTTCTCGAATAGTGGGTTAATTCTGCTAACCATGTCCATTAAAACAATGTCAAAAATTGCTAGAACCTCAAGTGGGAACCTGACCATTTTGGTATACAAATCGTTATCATAATCAAACACATCGTGAGCATCAACGTCGAGTGAGTCGCCTTCCATTTCAATTACATGATGAATTGCCCTCATGTATTTCCCCTCAGTTTGAGAAGGATCCTCTCGAAAATTCCTCAAAAACCTAAGAATTGCAGCGTTTACATCTTGTACGCTGATGTTTGTGCCCCACACATACATTGGTGGGGCCTCATCGGCATCATCACCTTCCCCGCCCTCTGAGGACGGCGGAATATCAGACGCATAAGACGGAGTCGCGGCGGCTGCACCAGAAGGGGTGGTGGAGGACGCTCTTCTTCGGCCACGGCGCGAATTAGTACTGGAAGGCGTCGGTGTAGCATCGGGAGTTGTGAATCGCCGATTTGACGGTGCAACTGGTGTGGATGTGGCTGACGAGCGGCGGCCACGCTTCCGGCGAGTGTTGTCACCGGGAGATGAGTAAGTGTTACCAATTGGGCTTGAAGTTGAGTCATCTGGTGTATATGGACCTGTATCAATATACATCACTATACATTTCCGATTTTTTTAAATAGAAAAATCTAAGCATAGGAACTGATGACATAAGGTGCAGTAGACTTACCGCCGTGAGTGTTGACCGGAGATGAGTCGGAGGCCATGATCTATTTGCCTGAGCTTCGCTGAGATACTGCGAGGATCGCCGGCGGGGGTGTTGGAAGAGAATGTTTAGGGCTTAGTTTGTGGAACTTCAATGTAAATATGATGGTTATCTTTGGCGGGAAATTGTGGTTCCTTTTGGCGCCAATTTGGTCAGTGAGGTGGAGTCAGATATGGGCTCTCAGTTGGGCTTGGGCTTTACGATTCTATGGTCATTGAAGAAGTTTAGCCGAAAATGGACTGGGTCCAATATTGTAGGCGAAATAGCATGGGCTAGCCAGTTTTCGAATTCTTAATCGAAAAATAGTTAGCATTTACAAAATCATTAAAAATATTCATTATTTTAGCTGAAACATGGAAAGTTCTAGTATAATATGCTGGATTTTGGAGCTCCTGCTTATAAACTTCCAACATATTATATTGAAACTCCAGCACGTTATGTTGGAATCTCTTATGTAAAAAATTTGAACTCCAGCATATTATGCTGGAATTTTTCCAGATTTTAAAGAGTGATTTTGTTCAGATTTTATCTTTACATGAAAAAGTGATTAAATTTCTATTACTTTTGAAACTGTGGCTATTTTTCAATTATAAGTTGTAAATCTAGCTTATTTATGAATTTTTCCCAATATTGTATTTCATAAAGTCGTATGTGAAACAGTAGTATCCGTTTGGCCAATGTTTCTTTGATTCTTTTGGTGAATTTTTCGTTAAAACACTATGGGGTCATTTGGTCTGCGCGATATAGAATAACAATCTATATATCTATACTATATTAAAAGTGGGAAGCCCTTAATTGAAAAATTAAATTACCACAATACCCCTGCTTAGAAACCTAATTAGTATCTTAAATAACCTTACACTACTTAATGAAATAAAATTAACTAGAGAAGCCAACGCTTCAGCCAAAAAAAGAAACGAAGCCAACGCTTCAAAAAGAGAAGGAAAAAAGCCAACGCTTCATATGCAGTTTTGGCAGAAAACACTCTTCTATAACAGCCCTAGCCAATGCTTATACGCATTCATCAACAAATGGATTATAATTCTGATGGTTCTCCTACTGGTTGCCCCAAGATTTACTCTTTTTGCAGGTGTTCATTAGTCTCTACGCTTATTTGTTATATATGCCAACAATATATAGCACTATCTTTTTGAAGGGGACGTCATATAACATTGTTGTCATAGAGAATCCTGTGATCGGGTATAATATTATTTCTCTGAAAGTTTATATTGATGAGTCTTTTGTTATTTGTTTATTCTTCTTATATACATTGTTAATATTTAAAGCGATCTAGTAGGACTACAAATTAAATGTGATCGGCAGGAAACATACACCGAAACGGTTATCCCTTGGTATGAACTAAAGTTTTAACGATAACTTTTTTTTACCATGGAGCACAATTCATATGATACTTGGTTTAATATATATCCGCTTTTCATGATCATAACTAAGTGGGAATGAATTACAAAGATTATCCTTCGATTAGAAAGACCAACATTTATACTTATCTCAAATTAAATCTGCTTGTCTTATTAAGGAAAAAGAAATCAACGCGAACATAACTCTCAAATTTCAATCTCAATCTCTACTTTTCTAATTTTTCCATGTTGAATTCTTGTCCTTCTTCTTGTCTTTTCCAATACTTTGTTCTATTCTTTAAACCCTTTAAGTCCTCTTAAGAAAGATGAGTAGCAAATAGAGACTAAAGCACTGCAAAATCCTCCGTGATAAAATATGACGTGATTCAATCACATATTAAAATAAGCATCATGTCCAAAGGAACTTAATGGTACTTTTGTTTTGGTATACTGTCCTCTTTGCCACTAACCCCGAGAGGAACGCTAGATACTCTCATGTTTCTGTTCATTCATATATTTTTAGTAGCTAAGAAATATCGAATTATGTTTTCTATTAGATGTTATATGTAGTTCACTTCTTTCCAAATTATATCTAATAAGGTTTAGTGTTGCTCTGTTGTTCATATGAATTTATTTATTGTTCAGGGCTTCAGACAATGGCTTAACATCATTCTTAAGTTACGCATTTATATTTGTTCTATCTTATTCTCTTAAGTCTTTATTTATACGTGAGTATAACAAGATATTAAGATAGTTTAACGATTATTGAAGGATTGTAGCACTCTCTAAAGCTAAAACTCTTTTTACTCGATCTTTTGCTTTTTCCCTTTTTCTGATTTATGTGATATTTTTAAAATTCTAACGGTCACCTCATTAATCCTAAAAGTCACTATTAATAAACTAATTAAATAAATAAATAATTAAAGATAATTATACATGAAAGAATAAAGCACAAAAACTATATTTACAGGAACTATGACTAAAGTAAGATGGTATAAAGGGCTAAATATTCCCAAGTATAGTCCATAAATGAAAAGTGAGCTCAATTTGCTTGAGAACCACATATACTATTATATACTTTCTTAAGAGTTCAAACTTTTTTTGTTTAAGAATATCAATATTATATATTTCAAGGTATGCATAACCGGAGTTAAAGAGAAGTATGTATAACTACATATCAGCCTCCCCGGATGTGTAATTATTTACTTAAGAAAAAAAAACTATGTGTGAGAAATAGGGGCAAAGATGAATTGTGAGGATTCAGTTCTTTCCGAAGTAGACTAAAATTTTCATGCCTTTTTAAAACTTAAAAGATGCAATTCAATTAGGGGTGGAACTGTGTTTTATTACTATCAAGTTTTTTGTAGCGACAGAACAACCACTCTTTCTTCAACATGTGCTGGGCTCAACGCTCATAAGAAATTACTTTATAACATGAGAATATAAGTATCTCTTATACTTAAAGTTTAAATCTGGCAAGAAGATTGAAGAAGAGTAACAAAAAAAATGTAAAAGTCCACACGGAAGATCAATTCAAACTTTTTATGATGGTGTTTGGGAGTGGAACATGAACCTAATAGTCTTATATACAAATAATTGAGTGAAAAGTGGTTATCACTGACCGTGTAAAATGAATTGCATTTCTATTCCCTAGAACCTCTACAAGTATTAAGAGTAAATTGTCTTTAGATGCTTTTTGAGAGTCATGATAAAGTGACCAAAATGGTAGTAAGGAACATACAATAAAAATATTATCTAAGTATTAGGTATCTCATAAAATCAAAATAAATAATAATAATCATATGTGTCTAATTAAACTTTGATTGTTTATCCTCGTAGTTGGATATCCAATCTTGACAAACGATTTACCATATCAAGCCACATTAAGCATAACGCCTTGTTATTCATTCTTTCAGGTAAAGTTACTTATTCAAAGCTTTGCATTAATAATTTGACTCGGTATACACGTGCAACGCACGTGCCGAAGAACTAGTATATATAAAGGAGGGAATAGAAAAGATGACTTGGCACCTCTCTTTGGCCAAGAAACTCAATTATCTTTTTTCTCCTTTTTTTTTTGCCTTTTTCCCCTCATATTTCCCTTTATCTTATTTAAAAAATTCAAAAATTCTAAGCATTTATTTCCCCTTCTGCCATAATGCATGTGTAACGTGTATTAAACATTAGTAAAGGCAAAAAAAACATTTCATTTCCCCATGTCCAAGGAGTTATATTTTGGAGAGTTACAGAACTTTTTGGAGAAATATACATATGCAAAAGGAGCTAGAGTCAGAATGCACTTTAACAGGGCATTGAAATGGTTTCTCTTGCAACAAATTTGTTCTACTTACCATGGTTTGGGCCATCTCTATTTCAAAGTCAATGGAGCGAAAAAGATCAACGCTAAGGTATATGAGAATTCTCTCCTCTTTTTTTTTGGAGAAGTAAATACACTACATGTTTTACATCCTTGAAATACTTCTATTTTAAAATTTAGAATTTCATAATTGTTCAAAGAGAACTTTGGGACTGACGTAAAGGAGTTAGTATTTTAAAATTTTTGAATTTTCTGTGCTTCTGCTTCCTTGATGTTTCCTTGCACTTCTCAAAAAATATTTTAGGCCTCTCAAATCTTTATGTATTACTTTAATACTTGCGTTCTTTACTTTCTATATGTATTACTTTAACACATTGATATTTTTCAGATAATACTATCATTTGAGTCTGCAAAATAGTTTCAAAATTCATGCATCAACAATAATGAAAACTATAACAAATGAAATAATTAAAATTCAGAACTATTTCTACTCATACCTTTCTCATTCCTTGTAAGAAAAAACTTAAAGCCAACTTTTCATATTCCTTTTTAATGGAATAAAAAGAAATTTTATAGTCTCAAAATTTATTTCTTTTCTTCCTCAATTCTCCTGGTCGCTGCTTTTTTTCTTTGTTAATTGATTTGGTTAATTCGAAATAAACGCGGTTTTAGATATTGCTACAAAATCATAGAATTTAATATTTTCACTGTTGTTCATATGTGTTTATGTGCAAAGAAATGATTGCAACTTAAATTGTCATTCTTTTTCTTAAATTTCTTCACTTTGGGCTTGAGTGGAGTAATACTTTTCTATACATGAGCACTCCAATGGGTATTTAAAAATTAAGGACATGTCAAAAGATGTAAATTGTTATTTACATGTACATCTGGCAATGAGACAGGGTGAAACTCGGAAGTATGTATATATTTGCACGAAGAAGACATAAATGAACATATAACAAAAGCCAAGTGACAAAGATATTATATTGTGCATCGCTTTCAAGGTAAAACTTCCCAAAACTTCATTTGGGAAGATTCAGATAATTGTATTGGGACTATCAGTCGGGTATAAGCAAGAATAAGATGATCTTTTCCTTTTATTTTTCTTTTTAGTAAAGCTTTTATGTTTATTATCATATTAGTTTAACTTTCTTACGCATTTATGATGTACATGTATGAATTATTTATTTTTTAACTTTTATTTTGCTTATCAACAACTAAAAATGTTTGTATATTTCTTTTCCTTTATGAATGAATTTTACTAATTTTACCTTTCAAAAAATATTTTTTATGACCGCGCGAAGCGGGTCAAATTCACTAGTCTGAGATAAAATGGGGGATTATTTTATCACGCATTTGGCTGAATATATTTTGGGATCAGCAGCCTCAAGATTAGTTATATCACAGTTATAGTATTATTTTTA